GGTCAGTTTCAGCAGCGGCTGAATCTGGACGCCAGTTCCGACTTACATACAGATTCAACTTAAGAACAAACCTACAGTCCCTATCTTGTATGTAACCCGGGGACTGCCTGTATTTTGAAACACATCCTGCTGATAGCAGAGAGAGCATTGCAAAAGAGAAGGGGACTGTGAGTCACACAAAATGGAGGTTTCCCTAGAATATGCCATGTGTGCTTCTTGGTTTTAAGATACTCTTGGTGTAGTGTAGCAACAATTACAGAACATCACATCTTTTTCTAAAAAGAGGAGAAGGGCGCAATTGCTGTTGGTTATCTCTGAAGGGAAGGGAAATGGAGAAATGAAAGTTTTGGGTCCTAATCTCATGGGTGGCACCAGATACGAAGTTTGATTTTGTGCTGTGAGTCTGTCTTCTGTGACCAAGCTTTCCATGTTGATGATCTCCTTTGCTACAGGTGGATGTTCACATTGCAGCCAACTTAGATAGGAAACATTTATGCAAAATATATTTTTTAGGGGTTTGTCCTCTGTTTTAAATAACTCACATGATATGGCTTCTACCACTTTCCTTAGGGGACTTTTTCCACGGTTTAGCAGATCTTATTAGGCAAACGTTCTTAATATTTAGCATCTATCTTCCTCCCCTCTCCTCCCCAGTTACTGAAGTTACTCTCTTGTAACACCCTAAATAAAGCACTTCTCTCATGGGTGTTTTCATCTTCCAAAGATGGGGAGAGAGAGCCTGTTAATTCCCTCAATCCTACTGCTCTTGTTGCTGACAAGTCAGTTCCCTAATACCAGGTAGGGATGTAAAATCCCATTTAATCAGCTAACGGTTTAACCAATGAAATGGGATCCCGTTAACTGGTTAATTGGTTAGTGATAAGCATCACCTGCTAAGGTTACCTGCTGACATCCCTAATAATGTCTCATTTTCTTACTTCTGTCATGACTGATGTTAGTTGGGCTTCTTAAAACAATGGAGTCTAAACAACGAAGTGAAGACAAATTGTACAGTAGTAAAGAGCAGCCGCAGCATTCATTGATGATTTCTCCTTCTAAATGCTTGAAATGCTGCCCTGAAATAGCTGAGTATACCTGGATAGGAATTGAGGAGCACTTTCATTCCTATATCTTGGTTATTCGCAGTCTGCCTTCAGAGTTGTGCATGAGGACCATTTTGGGCGTTCCGTGTTGTGTCTTAAAATGTATAAGTTTAAAAGGTGTACTAAACTCTGTGTAATCTGCCAGATTTTCAGTTCTGAACAGTCTCAGGCTTACATTTTCAAAAGAACTAGTGATTTTGGGTTCCTCAGTTTTTGAGGGCACCATCTGGGATCTGGGAGGTCTCTTTCACGTTTCTCAGATTGGACTCACTAGTGCTTTTGTAATGTCATTTCTACTTCCTTGTTCCTCTCCTCTGCAATTAAAAATTCTTCGTCATGTTTACAGCCCTCACATAGCACAGTATGGGAAGCTAGATTGATAAATTCTCTGAGAGTTGTATAAAGTGTGTCTGCAGCTCCTTCTGGTTGTGAAGATATACCCAGCCCCTCTGTTGCTATGTCGTTGATAGGGTAGCTTAACTCTCCTGCAAAACCAACAAATTCCAGCCCTTCCAGGGTAACAAAAAGTGACACACACACATCTGATTGAAAATTCAAACTCTTCTGTTTTTCTCTCTGGGTCAGAACCCTCCCTCTGGGGTCTGTTGCAGTAGTCCTTCCTCTCTAGGGCATGACACATGCTATTCCGAACGCTAAAATGTGTCCAAACAAATGTTCTGTTAGTCTGGCTATTGATAATGATTAGCTCAAGCCGTGCCCTGATTTATCTTGCTGGGCCTCCTGGTAAAGTCACATCTATGCACCAATTCCCACTGGTGCATGGCTGGGATACCTTGTTAGAAGAAAATCTCTCTAATGTAACATGGGTGGGAGAACGTAGAACATGAAATGGGGGACTAGGAAGAGGGGAGACTTCTCTCCCCCCTCCCCCCTCCAGTTCCACGCCATTTCACCAACCTGACTGGTGGCCAGGTCATGGATTGAGGATTGATTAGTGGCAACGAGTCAGAATTGTTTCTATTTTTAAAAATAGAATAGTCCTATGAGCATATGGCTAAACTGCGAGAGACTCCTGCGTTATGCCTTTGGCCTTCTTCTCTCATTTGCTGCCCAGAGTTTCTTACCCAGGCTTACTGGTGTGACACCTGTAAGCTCTCTTGAGTGAGAGCTATGTGTCTATGCCATACTCTGTGGTGCACTTGATGTGTTTGTGGCACAAGAGTGATGATGATTTGTAATAAATTTCACTATGGTTATGTGTTGGCTGATCTACCTGAAACACATTAATAAAGCTCCAGAAATTATAGTAACAGAGGAGAGAAAAAACATACTGAAAAGCAAGGAAGAACAGTCAGCAGCACTGGAAGAATAGCATAGTGGCTGCTTTTCAACCAGAGGTGCATTTTAGACTGGAGAGTCGCTGTGCTGATCAACCACTTCTAAACATTGCTGTTGTTTTGACCTTCTTGTTAGGACTCTCTCCACCAGTGATGACGTTGAAGACCGAGAGAATGAGAAGGGCCGTTTGGAAGAAGCTTATGAGAAGTGTGACCGGGGCTTGGATGAGCTTATTGTTCAGCACTACACGGAGCTCACCACAGCTATCCGCACATACCAGAGCATCACGGAGAGAATCACCAACTCACGCAACAAGATCAAGCAGGTGAAAGGATAAGCAGCACTGTGTCTGGCATCTCTCTCTTGCTTTCCCCCTTCCCTTGCCCCCACCAAAAAAGGCTTCATGTGTTCAAATCCTGTTTCTGTGTTACACTTCTGCCTTGGCTCTGGTTCCTGTCGCTTTCGTGTGAATGTAAAATAGAAGTAAGGGTTGAACGAAAACCTTGATACTTCACTGTTCCTCTCTACTGGGTACCGTTTTGTGCTGAATCAAATACTCAGCGGAGAAGATGCCATTAGCTGCGAGCTTTGAAACTACCACCAGACTTATTTAAATAGGTCAGCTGGCCTGATTTGTGACTTGACCAGCAGCAGATCATCCAAATCTATACAACTAAAACCTATTCCATTCCAATTCTTATGTTGTGCCCATCTGCATGCCCTCTGATCACCATCTAAGTCTGTGGTGTCTAACCAGTTCTGAAGCAATAACCTTTATAGTGGCTATTGCTATAGCGAACTAAACACACATGCAACCGGCCAAATAGCCACATGTGGCTAGTGCGTTGGACACCCCGGTCCTAGGTCATCTCAGTGACTCATCAGATGCCCATTAGCTGAGTGAATATGAATTTTAAGATCATTTGCATATTTAGCTCTTAAGCACAGAGAAGTGTATAATTGTGTGCCTGCTGGTGTTCCTATATTTTGAATACCATATGTTAATATTTATTACTACTCTAGAAAATAAGTGCACTGCTGAGCATTTATTCTTTCTGCTCTTCAATCCTGATGGTTATCACAACTGATGAATTTGCCACTCACAGCCCTTGTTTTACTTCCTCTGTGGATTATTATACTTAAGCCTTGCAAACCGGGTACATAAATAGTTCCACAGTGCTCGTCAGACAATGGAGATCATGACTTGAAACCTTTCAGAGCAGTGCTCCAGAAGCAATAAGCTATAACCCTTTTGAGAGAGCACACTGGCCCTTTGGGTTTTTCAAATTCATTTAGCATTTTCAAAGCAAATCAGCCCTCTCTGATCTCTTCTAGGGGTAAGAGTTCATTCTAAGGATTTATGTACACAGCTGACTCTTGTGAAGGCCCAAATCAATAATCTTAAACTTGAAATAAACGATAACCTGTGTTCACCCAATATGCTAAGCTTTGTAGAGGTCAAAAACAATCATAGAGGGATAGTGATGTTCCCATCTAAACTAATCACTCTGGGGAGTGAAGGACCTTGGGATATTTGTTTTCTGATTTAGCTTTGGTCAACATGTATCAAAGGAACTTTTCCTTAATCTCATGCGAGGCACCAGACATGATATTGGATTTCATGCCGTCAGGCGGTATTACGCTGTCAGGCTTCCCATTTTGCTGTTCCTCTCCTTTGTTATAGGCAGATATTCACATGGCAACATCTGTGGAAAAGCAAAATGCTTTTTCCTGGAGGTAGTAGTTCAGTAGTCCAGATATCAGTGTTTGTGACACCATTATTTTCCTCACCGCTCATATTTGTCCAGCCACTGAATGTTGTGGGGATGTGGTCAGGGCCTGATTCTGATCTCATATATATGGGGTTATATGCCCATTTAACCTCATTCTCTTTCATAGTAGAGGAAAAGATGAGGCTGGGGAGGAATATGCTGTTCCTTAGAGTGAATACCTGAAGGGTTATTTAATCTTCTTTCCTATCTTTTCTCCTCCTGCTAACCTCAAAAGTGTTGCCACCTGCCTCTTAAATTAACATAGGACAAAATGAAAAACTGTGCTGAAGGGAGAGCCACTCTCTGGATCGCTAGTTTGCTTTGTACTATAGGTTGGACTTTCCTCGTCTGGCACTCTTGGGATCTGACTGGTCCCGAACAAGGGCATTTGCCAGACCACAGGAGATCCCTCTCAGCATGGCCTGTGCTGCCCCCAGCTAGGGCTCCAGCCTGGTCCCACTGCTGTCTGCCTGGCTGGGGCTCCCCGGGACTGAGCTCCCTAGCTGCTGCCGGGGCTGAAGCTTGGTGACCAGGGCTGGAGCTCCATTGCCTCACCACCTGCCCCTCGACGCTCCCTACCCCAACACAGGGCTCCCTGCTGAGTCTGCTTGTGCCCCACGGCCCAGCCTCCCTATACCTGGGCTCTGTGGTCCAGGAATATCTGTGGTCTGGACCAGAGTGTCCCACTTAAGGGGAGGTACAACCTGTAGGACAAAGACGTCAAGTTTCAGTCGTTTCATTCATATCTATGGATCATTTCACCTGTCTTAAAGTGACCAGCCTTTGGTAAAGGGCACCAACATGGCCCCAAAGGCGAAGATGATCCCATCTAGTTTCAGACTCGTAACAGAGCCTGTGCCCAACAAGCGCTGTGTGTAACATTCAGTTTTTCTCTGCTGTTGTAACAAGTTAGGGAGCATGAAGGTGTTTGAAGGTATTTCAAGGAAAGTCTGCTGGGTTTTGAGTGCTCTGGAAACTTATCTTTGAAGCTGGGCTTGAACGTGTGCGCTTCAGAGCGGGGTTCTGTTGTGTATTAAGGACTCTACTAGCAGTTGTCTGTCTTTTGGGCCATCTCTCTGTGGGCTGAATCCGTTATGCTGCTTGATTTCATCTAGCCCTTGGCACAGAGACTTACCATGGGCTGGAAGCCCTGACCTCAGTACTCCCCCACCTCTTCTCCCCACGAGTCCAGAGTTGAAAGCGCTGCCTCAGCGGCATGTCCCTGCAGCCCTTCGATGCAGGTGTGATCAGGGAAGCTCTGCATCCTGCCCCCAGTGCTGGCTGTGCAGCTCCCATTGGCTTGGAACTGCAGCCAGTGGGAGCTGTGGGGGCGATGAGTGTGGGCAGCGTGCACCGTGCAGAGGGGCTGGATGTGACGGCTGCTTCTGGGAGCAGAGTGGAGCCAGGGTGGGCAGGCAGGAAGCCTACCTTAGCCCTGCTGTGTCACCAGCTGGGAGTCACCTGAGGTAAGCACTGCCTGTTTGTAGCCTCCCCCCATACCCACTCCTGCATCCCAACTTCCTGATGCAGGTCACAACCCCCTCCTAAACCCCCCACCTATACCACAACCCTGAGACCCTACCCATACCTGAACTCCCTCCTGGATCCTGCACCCCAATCCCCTGTTCCATCCTGGGGCTCATTGCAGAGTCCACACCCCCAGCCAGAGCCTGCAACCCGCTCTCACAACACAGCCTTTTGGCCTCAGCTCTTTCCTGCATTCTAAACTCCCCACCCAAAGGCCCACCCCAGAGCTCTCACTTCCTCCCACACTTCAACCCTCTGTCCCAGCCTGGAGCTCCATCTTGCAGCTTGAATCCCTTATTTCTGGTTCCACCTCAGAACCTAGGAGAAGCCACGAACCTCTGAGTGTTAATGTGTCCCTCTCCCCTCCCTTCTGGGGCTGTGTGTGGCCTCAGACTGATTTTTTTTTTTTTTTTTTTTTTGTCTGTAGGTCAGTGGTCCCTGGTAGAAAAAGGGTTCCCTACCCTGTTGAAGGGCCTTCCAGTCACTCTAACTTGAAAATAAATCCAGGGGCCTCTGCATTTGTAATTCAGTGATGTTAGAGTTCTTCCTTAGAAGGTCTTGGGCCCTAAATATTCATAGCTTATTGACACCAGATAAATGGTGGAAATACCATGAGAGAACTGCTGTTAACTCTTTACTGATTTTTTAAGACCCTTCAATGATTATCCATTTATGCAACAAGAAAAATTGGGTTGTGCTGACCAAATCCCAGACGCTTAGAATAGTTGGCAGACTTAAAAAGGGTTAGAGCGGTAGTTCTCACTTCTAACTCAAGTGCAGAGCTACCCTTGATTCCTGCTATTAGGAATGTGAGAGAGAAGCAAGAACTTTTTTGAGTCAGCAAGAGATGGCTTGAGATTTTAAAACAAAGTGAATGGCTTTGTACTGTTTTTTTTTTTTTTTTTTTTTCCTGAGTGTTCAAATGTCAAGATGTGTAATATAGATACTAAGCTAAGTTTTATCCTAAGTGCAATCCGTTTTGACGTTCTTTTCGACATCTCGTTAGACTAACTCCATCTCTTGCAAACAAACGGGTTTTGCCTAATGTGAGTGGGGTTCCAGAGGGGCCATATTGAGATGTCTCAGTCAGGGCAAACTGCAATGTCCCCCCAAACTGGAGATTATTTCTAATACTTAAGATTTACCAATACAGCAACAAAACAGGGTCTACAATACCTTACAGAAGCCAGAAGTACAGTTGCTTTAAAGTAACCCAGCCTTGGGTGCCCACCTGGATAGCCAAGTCAAATAAGATGAAGATGACTGAAAATCTTGTTAATCAAAAAAAAAAGCTTGGCGAGTCCCACATTACCCATCAAGTGAATGATTACTTCAGCTCTTACTCAAGCGCAGGCTTGCAGCCAATACTTACTAACTAAACTAAAATTTATTAAAAAAGGAACAAAGAGGATTGGTTAAAAAAATCATTAGACTTACAGATGAGAATGAAGATCTTAGGTCCGTGCCTAGTAGAGATGGTGTGCTTCTAAGTTGCAAACTGTTCTTTAAGAATAAGCTCCATGGGCCATAATTCAGTGTCCAATATCCAGGTGACTCAGTCTGGTGACCTGTCTTGGGTGAGACTCACTTCCCCTGATGAAGCATAAGCAGATCTGTGGTAACAGAATCAGGAGCCAAGAGCTTTTCATAGATCTCTGACAGCAGGGATTCCTGGGGTGCAGCATGATCGTTTAAAAGGAGATTCACCTATTTACTAGGTATACACAGGTAACTAGTTACATTCATCAGCATAAGGAAATTCTCCATTCAGCAGTTCATAGACAGTTGACTACAAAGTTCAAAGTCAAATATAAAAAATGAAATTATTACACCCTAGTTTCATCTGTTAAAACTCCCTTTTGATCTCTGAATCAGTGGATACAATAACTGAAAGGAACCATCTATTTACAGGGATAACATGTAACAAGATGTAAGTAAACACATACAATCAGTATTACCTATAATTTGCTATCAGTAGAGGTTTGTGTTTCAATTCTGTGTAACATGTCTGTGTTAGCTGTTTCTAAGCAATAGCCCTAATTGCCATTTTTATACTTTTCTAATAGGTCTTTAAAGATTGAATTTAGATCATTTAGCCTGTTAATTCTTAATCCTTCCTGGCTTAATGTCACACCCAAGCTACTGATTTAACAGTGTACTATGTAGTCGGCTTTCATGATAGCTAGGAACAGTGATTAGAAAGGAGGAGAAAAGAAAGGTGCCATGGGAATTTAATAGGCAGACAGAAATGTTTACAGAGGAACAACACGGTAGCTATTTATTTACTTAAACTAAACAATCTGCTTCCTGTTTCATGTCTAAATGCTGAATAAATGTTGGAAACAGCTGCAAGTAACTATTGAATCGTGGTGTTAAGATGAACATGTGTGGAATCTCATTCCCGCTACTCCAGTAAAACATACACTTGTAGCACAAATTTGAACACCCAACACCAGCTTCACTTAGTTCCCCCTATAGTTGCTGCTGTTAGATGGGTTGATTACATGATTTCCCTGGGCCAGAGGGGGAAAAATAGGCTGGCTTTTAAAAATGTGGGTTGGGTTATTGTCAGTTGACACTCCGATTAAAACAAGTGACTTAGGGGGAAGTGCTGACCACATGGGAGACTCCAAAAAAAAAAAAGGCATTTGACTGACCACCTCTTCAACATGTTGCCTTGTAGGTGAAGGAGAATCTCCTGTCATGCAAGATGCTACTGCACTGCAAGCGAGATGAGCTACGCAAGTTGTGGATAGAAGGAATTGAGCACAAGCATGTCCTGAATTTGCTGGACGAGATTGAGAACATCAAGCAAGTGCCCCAGAAACTGGAACAGAGCATGGCCAGCAAGCACTACCTCAGTGCAACTGACATGTTGGTAAGATGTTGTACCTAACATAGATGGTTGTCTGTACACTAGTCAGCCAATTGAGCTCACAAGTGAACAGATCTTTCTCTGTGTCCACTGCTTGCCCTTCTCCTGCACTGTTGTTCTTTTACCCTACTCTGTCACTCAGTCTGTGCTTTATCTCCAGCCTGTCAATCTCTTTGGCTTCTTTACTGCCCATAGTCTTTTCTGATACGGACTTGGGGACTCTAGTCTCCCTTCCTCCCCTTGTCTCCTGTCCATGCTTTCTGTTTTTGAAGTTACCTTCTTCTTTGCATTTCACTTGCCTTATTTCCTTCCCTCTGTCGCCATGCCTCTTGCTGTGCTGGGTTTTCTACTCCATACATGGTATAGGGTTCTTATTCCCAATCCCATTGATGACTTCCTCCATTGTAAGATCCTTCTCTCAGCTTCATCTGTTCCCTTTCCCTTTCCCTTTCATCTCCTCCTTGACTGCCTCTTTTGCTACCATCCCAGTCAACTGTACTCTACTTTTCACTCTTTTTTTTTAAACTACCTTCCCAGTTACCTGTCTCTGCCTCCTTCCCTTGCTGAGATTTTGCAAGTTTGTTTAGAAAAAACAAAATTGACTTGTGCCATGAATCATTTCCTTCTTCCATCTCCCATTCTTGCTCGCTCATTACTCTTTCTTCAGCTGGCAGCCTCCCTGCTTTCTCTTTCACCTCGGAGGGGAGAGGCTTCTTGATGGACAACTCAAATCTTTTTTTTAATTATTATTTTCCACTAATTCCTCTGCCTGTGCCCTTGCTCCTATTTTCTCCCGTTTCCTGTAATCCTCTGCACTTTCCCCATCCCTCTTATTTAAGTGTTGTGTGTCTCTCTCTCTTTTGCTCTCAGGGATCATTTCCATCTGCATTTCAAGCACACTTTTCATCCTCTGTCATGAGGAAGCCCCCCTTTAACCATACCCTCTTCTCCAATTGCTATCCTATTTCTCTCCTTTCTTCTTTCCAGAAACCTAGTGCCTGGTATCCAGAGTTCATCATCAATCTAGATGGCATCTCTTGCCAAATCCTTTCTTTACCAATGACACTAACCTTCTGGAGCGGGTGGGAATTTTCTCTGTTCGTATTATTCTTGATTTCTGCATAGAATTATGTTTTCTGAAATTTTCCCCTTCACCTCCCTCCTGCGATATCATTGTCAACTCTGTTATCTTTACTATCTCCCAGGTTCACAACCTTAATGTTACCTTTGGCTTTTTCCTGCCTTGTAATACTATCACTTCTCAAATCTTGTGGCTTCTTCCTTTTCAGTATTGTTTGTCCTTTCTGCACTTTTCTTTTCTGCCAAAACTCAACCTGAGATCTGATTCCTTCTTTCTCTCTCACCTCTCATAACATTTATTTACAGGCTTACTGTCACTCTTTTCTAAGGGTATGTCTACACTTTCCCCCTAGCTTGAACTAGGGAGGCAAATGAAGCATACCGAAGTTACTAATGAAGCATGGGATTTAAATATCCTGCATTTGATTAGCATATTTGCAGCTGGTGGCCATTTTAAAATGCCAGTAGCCCGAATTAACTCGTCACGTGCAATGAGGAGTAACAGTTAATTTGAGGGAAGGATTTTGGATCGGACTACCGCGTCTACATGCGGCGAGAAAATGCTGGTAGCCCGAATTAAAAAAAAAAAGGCGACCAGCCGTGAATATGCTAATCAAGAGCGGGATATTTAAGTCCCACGCTTCATTAGCAACTTTGAACTAGGGAGGCAAATGAAGCATACCAAACTAGGGGGCAAGTGCAGACATACCCTAATTCAAGCTCCTCATGTTAGTCTTGAATGACATACATTATCCTTCCTCCCACATATGATTCCATTTTGTTTTCTCCATCTTTCCTCCATCATGCTCCTTCCCATCATTGCCTGGCTGTTTTCTTCAACTTGCTGCACACTTGCCTTCATGCCTTGTTTCATGCTACCCTCTACAGCTTGCTGGTCAGGGATTCTTTCTCCTTCCTCATTTAAAAAGCTGTTCTTCCTGGAACTCTTTTTCAGAACTGTTCTCATCATCCTCTTTTTTTTTTCCCCCTTATTTGAACTATTGTCTCTTGTCTACCTTATGTAAGTTATTTGGGGGCAGGTAATGAATTTAACAGGTAGTTCTGTTTGGTAAAGTGTTATGGACATTTCTGGTACTCTATAAACTATTAAGCCTGTTAGAATTCTTGGAAGATATTAATAGAGCCATGACTAGAAGAGCAGGGATTACTTAATTTTTGAGTTTTTTTTGGGGGGGGAGGGGGAGGTCAAAGTCCTTGATAGAGGGAGGGATTACTTAATTTTTGAGTTTTTTTGGGGGCAGGGGGAGGTCAAAGTCTTTGATAGAGGAAATGTGTTACTTGGAGTGAGAGGTATTCTTACATTCTGCAACACTAGCTGAGAAATTGGAATCAAAAGGCAGTATTGAGTGAAGGAAGAGTTAATGGTAGAGATCTTGTGCATTAGCATAAGGACCGTTGACTCATTTCTAAACCGTTGGCTTTTCCTTTTTCTGTTACACTTCATCCAGTTAAACCTGTTGGAACTAGTGTGTTGCTCTTGAACGAAAGGTAGCATAGAAGGCCAGACCCTGCCTTAGTTCTGCTTTGTGATAATGGTGTTCTTTCAGAAAAGAAGAGTCCCATTGCCACCCTGTACCAAGTTCTGATCCTATTGCTATAGGAAATGAAAGAGCCATGCATTGTCTTCAAAGCGCTTTGCAAATATTGATTAATCTTTCCATTCCTCTGAGTTTCTATCACCCCAGCTTCATAGCTGGGAAAACAAAGTTGCCCTAATTGAGTCTTGCACAAGGCCATAAGTGAAGCTAGTGTTATTGCCTGTTTGTTGCCTAGGCTGCTAGACAGTAACATCTTGGTTCTTTGCCGGCAGTTATCTGCTGTAATAGATGTGTTCGAAGGAGTTGAGCTTGTAAACCAAAAAATACAGAGAAAGCTATAGTGAAGACGGTCATCACCTATTAATTCTTTCATCTGCACTTTCAATTCCCATTTCAAGACAAGTGCGGCTATTGCATGTAAACACAATAACTTACCTGCATCCTGCCTGTCTTAATAGACAAAAATTGGTGAGGGCTCATTGGCTTTTGCCATCTCTTAATTCTTCCTGTTTGTCAGTGTGATGTTATAATCAGGTGCTGGCTGAAGGATAATACCTTTCTGTCTTTATATAATCTTAATATTGTATAAAATAATTATTAAACTGTCAGGGATGCAGAATGTTTATAGATACGCTTGTCCTTTTGTTTCCCTCCTCAAGGTAAACAGCTGCTGTTGGTTTTATAAAAAGCCCACAGTGATCTGACAAGGCGCTTGTATCCCTTGCATTGAAATTGGAGAGCTGATTAATATTGTTGCCTGTAGCTTTGTGATATGTACAGTCTAAATTAGACCTTTGCAGCCTTTGTGTTGGGTTGATGCAAGCACATTAATGGCATAATTTCTGGTTGCTGCGTCGCATTTCTGCAGTCTGCTCTTTGTATTCCACTCACATTAATTGAAGTAATTTTGCCAGTGAAGCGTGTTTCAAACCCTGCATTTAAATTGAAATTTTAATTCCCTTATTGTTTAGAAAAGATGGCTGAAGATGCCTTGTTACAGGTTTCATTATCACTCAAAACACTCCAGGCTGCTGGTTCTAATGTACAATGACTGATTAATTTTGAGAATTATTAATATACAAATGGCAGCTTTTTTCCCAATGGAATGAACAAGATGCAAAGGTATTTTGTGACGGCTCATATTGGCACGAAGTTGGATTTTTTTTTAAATGTACATTTTATCTAACTGTTTATATCTGTCTAAAGTTGTGCTGAGAACTTGGACCATTGCTTGTGCAACTTGTATGACATAGCTTCCCCCCAAAAAATTCATTGCAGAGAAGTACTGCAGGCTAAGGCAGAGAGGAGAATTTGGGGGATCTGTACTAACTGCCAGTCACATACGCCACAAGTAAAATAACTTGTGTCAAACCTCCTTCTGAGTGTGAAACTTTACCTAATTTATTTTTTAAATGGTGAATATGCACTGAAGTCCCATTGGAGGCCCTTAATTATTTTGGTCTCCTTTTTATATGCACACTTTAAAGAATCAGTAGCAGTATAATTGGAGAAAGGATACACGTATTAAGGATAATAATAATCATGATAAGCAACACCATTTATTCTTGGGTAATAATTGGGCTTATGTCCACTAGCGATTGACATGAGTGCTTGCGGAGGACTGACATCCCCTTCAGTGGAGGGCAATTCTTCACACGCTGTACTGTGTATTGATGCCCAGGAGCATAGGGAAAACAGCACTGATACAAGCCAGGTATTGGGAGGAGGAGGAAAGCACTGGGACTCGAACAAGAATCCTGGAAGGAAAGGCTGTGATACTAGCTGACAGGGTGGCTGCAAAAAAGAGCCAGGCTGGCGGGGTGTGTGAGAGAGAGACACAGGACAGACTGGGACAGGAACAGTCTGGAAGGAAGAACACAGTAAAAGAGGCAGTTAGAGGCAAAAAGACATGGCTTAAAACTTGCAATTCAGATCCTACCGAGGGAAGTAGGAGCATACACTACAGCTTTGTGTAAAAGCTTTGAGTAAAAGTGAAGTCAGCCTGGGTTTAAAAAAGAATTAGAAAAGTTCATGGAGGACAGGTCCATCAGTGGCTAGTAGTCAAGAAGCTTAGGAATGCAACCTCATGCCCTGGGTGTCCCTAAGCCTCTGACTGCCACAAGCCAGGACTGGATGACAGAGCCTGGATCACTCAAAAGTTGTCCTGTTGATTTCCTCTAAAGCACCTGCTAATGGCCACTGTCAGAACACCAGATACTAGGCTACATGGTCAAAACCAATATGGCCATTCTTACATTCTTGTGTTTGAGGGAAGCAGGAGCAGAGCTATCGTGCGAATAGTGTATGTTCCTCTGTAGATCTTGGAATAGAACCAAGGATTAACGAGTTGAGCATTCCTCTGCT